AACCCTTTAACTTCTACAGGTCTGCTGTAAGGAATATTCATGCACTGCCAGGGGCCAAAAGGATTGTGTAAGAGGGATAACACCTTTGATGAAAAAAGACATGCCTCATCTCTTGTACTAACTTTGACTTCATCTGTATCTTCTATTAGGTCCTGCTCCTTGGCTACGTCATGCACAGTCTCTGTGGGAGAGAAGAAGGATCCTTAATGAGAGACTGGAGATAGAGTTAAAGCAGCGAGTTGATGACCAGTGTTAGATTAGTAATTTGCTTTCTTGATCTAGGAGACTAGGCTAAAACATCAATTGTTCCTTTAATTTTCTATGATTTCTTGAGCAGATTATTCTCTCAATGTTATCTCTCAATCTCAAGGTTTAAGTGTAGAGTAAAAAGTTTCTTTTAAAAGACTTCTTCTGTAAACCCTTCTCTATAAAATGGAAACAGTAATCTACTTCATACCATTATACATATAGGAAAGACTTTATGGAAAAATAAATGAACAAGCTACCTACAAATAATAAATAACAACAGGAAGGAGTTACCATGAATATATTTACACATGGTCAAGGATATTTGTAAGCAAATACACAAGGACACAAATATTCTGCATTAAAATCTCTTCAACCACTCTGACCTACTCATTTCCTGAATTATTCACATACTTCTGTACCGATCCTAAACTATACCATAAGTCCAGTACCGTACACATTACCTTGGGACTGCAGTTTAGTCAACTCTTCACTCAAAGCATCATAGGATTCTTCCAAGTTCCGTTTCTTCAGCTCCACACTCTGCATGTACTCAGTAAGTGAACGGATCTTGGCTTCATGCTGAGAAGATAAGGAAATGTAAGTAAGTAAGAGATCCCTTTCACAAACGAAGTCCAGATTCCAGACTTCCCAATCTCATTTTCTATAAGGAAGAATTCAGTTTTTTGCTTGTTCAAGCTTGGAAACCATCCTCTCTCCTTAAATTCATCTTCGGAGTTCCAAAATAAAGAGGGGACCAAGCAATCAAAAAGCCCCTTCCATGCTGCATTTCAAGGGCACAGTACCCTTGAAGTTTACAATACAATTCTATGCAAGTATATCCAGAAGCTGCAATCAATAGGACCGCTTCTAAGAACACATGATTTATTAGACTAGGATTAATATTAATTAGATGGATCATTAATGATTATTTGAATCAGGATATGTTTTGGGAGCAAAAAATATTCAGCTTATGTGCTTGTGGGTGTAGATGTGTTGTGTGCTTTCCCCATTTCACATACACTCTCATAAAGTTCTTCATGAAGCTGTAGAATTCATGAACACTCACTAGCAGAATTTTTTAATTAAAAGAAAGGAATGTCTGTGTGATCCAGAACCAAAAAATAAAAAAGGGGGAAAGAATTTAACTTATCTTCAATCTGCTACTTCTCTGATCCCATTTTAAAAATTGGTATCGAGAATTATGACATGCAACAGCATGAAATCTGGCCCCAGAGATACATCTCAAAATATTAAATATTAAAACAGAGCTTTGTGTTTCAAAGTGATCTATAATTAGATTTCTCATTATTTTCAAATGCACTTAGAAGCAATTGTGAAAAGCTGGAAAATGGATTAGAACAGTGGCATTTGAGAAAGATGGATAATATATGAACTAGTGTTTGAAAAAAATGGAAATAGGAGAAAAGTTAAGCCCTCTCCTCTGTGATTTAAAAACAAACAAAAATCCCACTTTGAGGTTAGCTTCCCATGACACCTGCTCCACAGTTTAGGCTGATCCATTATTACAGATATTACAATGTCCAAAAGAATATTAAGATGCCTATCTGTAAACAGCCGAGTATGTGCTTCTGGTCATTCTGCTGGAGCTTGGTCTCCCAGATATGTATGTATAAATATTTAAAGATACATGCCAACCCTTTAACTTCTACAGGTCTGCTGTAAGGAATATTCATGCACTGATAGCAATGGTATCTTCCTGTGCACAAGGAAAATGCACATTTGGGGGAGCTTCATCTCACTACTGAAATAATGATAGTAGCAATAAAACTAGATCAGCAAGACCAGTGATGCAAGCTCCAAAGCTCCTGAATTACTAGACCCTGAACCAAAGCTGGAACCAGTCATCTAAGATAAGGTGTCCTTGAATTAGGAGCCCTCACTGATCTTCCCAAAAAGACTTCCCACCTTATCTGTCCTCCTTTATGCTGGAGCTTCAAGTTTCCTGATGCCTGTTTATAGGAGCTGACTAAGAAATAACAGAAAGCCAGGATACACAAGGAACTAATTCTTTCAGACTTTTTTTTCAAGCTTTCTCCAACATAGTCCTTTCCTACCAGCATGGGAGATCATCCCTTTTCTACTCCAGATTGGAAGAAAAGAAAGCCAATGAAATTCCCGATCCAATACGATTTCCTTTTATACCTCCTAGTTCTCAAACATAGATGGAAAACTCTAAAACCGAGATGGGTAGCCTATAAATCCCAAATACTGCTGAATTATAATTTCCATCAATCTCAGCCAGTGGTGGGATTCAAATTTTTTTACTACCGGTTCGTTCTGTGGGCGTGGGATGGTGGGCGTGGCTGGGGAAAGATACTGTAAAATCTCCATTCAGAGGTGGTATTTGCTGGTTCTCTGAACTACTCAAAATTTCCGCTATTGGTTCTCCAGAACTGGTCAGAACCTGCTGAATACCACCACTGAACCTCACCCAGCATGATGAATGATGAAAGATGGAGGGGATGTTAATTCAATAAGATCTGGAGTACCAGAGATTCCTTGCCCAGATTGTGAAAATCTAGGCGCTTTTCTATGTTCCTCTTATTTCTTCTACCCTTTTCTGGTTCCTCTTATTTCTTCTACCCTTTATCAGTTTTAAATGCCACAGCTAGTGTCCTTTCATCCCCACTTCCACAGAATCTGACCTGAGAAATGAGAAGCTGGCAGGAAGACAATTCCCGTCCTGTCACCTCCATCTTGCGGTGGCACTCAACTTGAAGACCTTCCAGCTGACGGCAACGCTTCACAACGGACTTCACTTCTGATTTGATCTTGCTGATGTAGAGCCGGGCAACAGTAAATTCTTCCTCAATGGCACCACTAATCTCTATTGGCTAGAAATTAACGATTTAAAAAGAGAACATATTATTTGAGGAATATACAGGTAGTACTCTACTGAAAAATGTGATTTTTCACAGTTATGATCTTTGTAGCATTCCCATGCTCACATAATTAAAATTAAGATACTTGGCAACTGGTTCAAGTTTATGATGGTTGCAGTGTCCCAGCGTAATGTGAACATCTTTTGCAACCTTCTGACAAGTCAAGTCAGTAGGGAAGCCAGATTCACTTAACAACCAGATTACTAACATCAACTGCAATGATTCACTTAACAGCTGTGGCAAAAAAAGGACAATAAAATGGGGAGAACTCACTTAACAAATGTCAACAGAAATTTTGAACTCAATTGTGGTCATAGGTCGAGAATTGTCTGTAGTTCAATGTATGATTCTAAGAAGCAGAACTGTTTATACAGCCTTCCTTCTTTCCTTTGCTCATCAGATGACACTGTTCCCAGATCACTAGATTCCACTATTTTCTAAGTAGTTTGTCTCATTTTCTTCAATTTTGTTTGTGGTAAGGTCAGCACTAAATACTTTAAATCGGGGGTATCAAACTCGCATTGTCACAGCATTGTCATGTGACGTATTGTGACTTTCCCCCCCTTCGTTAAACTAGGTGTGGGTGTGGCCAATGTGAGACGTATCAGGCCTGCGGGTCCCGAGTTTGACACCCTTACCTTAAATGAACCCTTCTATTTCCATTTTTTAATTGGACACAACATTTAAAAGTCCGTGATTAAATAGAGCAAAGAAAAAATTAGGAATTTCCCCAGATCCATCTTATATGTTTCTAAACTGAGAGTGAATGACTACTTTTCTTCTTTCCAAACATTGACACCGCCCCCCCAATGAACTGCTTACCAGTTTGATCTCACCGTTGCCCACAATGACACTGAATTCACTCAGATCCTTCATAAGTCCGTTGAGGACCTCAGCAATACGTTTGCGCTGGTGCCCACTGAATTCCTGTAGGCGTTGCAACTCTGATTCCAAAGACAGCATGGTGGCCTGCAAAGATAAAGACAACTATGGCTTATCCACCTCAAAGAGAATTCCTCTGGTTTAGAAATGTGGCACCCTCAATTTTAGTTAAGGGGAAAAAACCTTAATTTCCTTAATTAATTTAATTAATTCTTAAATTAATTATTTAATTTCTCAAGTGTCTTAATTTAAATGTAAACCCTCTGGTAGGAATTAGATTATACAAAACAAATAAGAAGAAAAAGATGGTTTAAACTTGAACATATGCAAGGGCTCTGAGTAAATATCTAATTGGAGATCCACAGCACGTCCATTCCCTTTGTTATGGGAATGGAAGTTTCACTAGTTAAACCAAAAACAAAGGCTATGGTGAATTTATTAGCCTGATCTATGAACACCTGGCACTGCAGTTCTGGAATCTTCTAGAGTTCTGGAATCACTGCAGTTCTGGAACCTTTCTCTAAGGAATCTCTCTATACCACTATTGGTATTCTTTAGTTACTCAATGGCTTTTTAAGAACTTTACTAAATCCTTTTGAAGTTTTGATGAATGCATTGATTCTAGAAAGGCAACATTTGAACCTGTTAAATTTTAACTCGTGTTTTACAGTTCCGCAAGGAGATCTTGGCACTTACCACTTTCTGAGACAACTCATCCACCAATAGCTGATTCTGCTGACTCTTCTCTTCTACCTCCTGGGATTTCTGATCATAGTTGACAGCCAGTTCCTCCAGAGCTTGCAGTACTTCCTTTACCTCTTCCTTAGCAGAATCATTCTCAGACTGCAGGTGGCTTAGTTCCTGCTGCACTTTTTCATTGTCCCCACGAGTGGACATTAGAAGCTTTTCAGAAGGAAAAGGCAGAGTGAGTTAGTGAGTAGTTTGAGAAATGTCAGGGGAAATATAAGAAAGGAAGAAGAACAGGAAGGCCAAGTGTGGGTGATGTAAAAAGAGGTAGAAATATAGAGAGATACACAGTGCTAAAAAATAGACGGGCGTTACAGTTATATTAGTCTACTCTACCCAATTGCTTTCTGATAATATCTCCATTCATTCCAGTCAGGTGTAGCTTGCTTAAAATTATCACAGCTGTAATCTAATACAGCCTGAGGACACCTAACTGGGGAAGACTGGAATACAATTACAGTATTTAATTAAAGTGATGGGAAGACCAAGGACAAAATCCATAGCCAGCTACTAAGCTTATTAGCCAATGTTGGACAGATCATTATCTCTCACAGGACTGTTGGGAGGGCAGTGTGATGAGAAAGAATGATCTATGATATCATCTGTTCCTTTGAGGAAAGGCTGGCTTAAACCAAATAACAAAGATGAAAAGTCAAGGTGCATTTTTATGCATGCCTGTGCATAAAAGTACTCTTGGGAAATTGCTCACCTCCTCCTGGTCCAGCATCTGCTCTTTTAGTTTCTCCATCAGTTGGCTCTGCTGATTAATTTCATCATCCTGATTGGACAAAAAGATGTCACTGCTAACTACCTTATGCTGTGTCCATGGTTTTAGACAGGTAAGGCTCAAAGAAAAGACATTGTGACCGAGATGGGGTTAAAAAGCAACCCAGGAGAAGTTTACATGGGACGGAGAAGAGATCTCTACCTTGTCATCAAGCTGCTTGTAGAGTTTGCGGATCTCCTCCTCATACTTATGCCGCTCTTCATCTGAGATCCTGATGACAATGGAGGAGTTGTTATCATTAATGGGTGTCTCATCACAAGTGTCAGGTTCCACTTTTTCCTCATCACTCAACTGCTCTGTTTCTGGGACATTCTCACCTAAAAGTGTTTAAATAGAAGACAAGGGACATTTTCACACACATATTTTACTGCTGTATTTATTATGATTCACAAGGTACCATAGTGCCTTTCAAGGACAGATCTGTGCAATGATTACATGAGAAATCACACTTTTTCACCATCTTAGAAATGTGAAGTCCATTCAGAGGAATCAGAATTAAGGAAACTAGGTGCCTTTTTCCAGTGTTAGACAAACTGCAGTTCAAGGCCATTTTGGTCCAAATCTCAATGGAGAATGGATTATAGCATTAATTTTTAAATTTCTATTAAAGGAGTATTACATCTGTTTCATCATAGGAATAAAGATAAAAAATTCAATGAAGAGAAATTACATTGCACAAGTTCCCAAGTTCACTCCTTAGCATCTCCATCTCCTGACAAAGCTGAATAGTCTGACTTGATACATGACAGTTATCTGGGTTTTTATGACTGTCCCTTGAAGTTTATCTCTCTAAGACCCTTGTCATATCTGCATTTATTATTTAGCTCCTAGGCAACCTGAGGCATCTTTATTACATCATAATACATGCAGCATATGTCTGGGATCACCTGTCCTTAAACTAGATGAAGCAATGTGACATTTCAGGACAGTGATAACCATTTTCCATGTCTTTCTATTAGGCAAATGCAGTCTAACCATAGTCCTTGCTTGCATCCTTTTTAAAAAAAATTCCACTCCAAACATTTATTGGCAGAATAAAAAATGAGGAAATGTGCAATTATCATTGCTTGGTTACAGGTACAAATAAAATTTACCCCAAAACCAGCCTTTTGTTCATATCTTATAATGTCAACATATGCTTGATATACAGAAAATACATCTTGATATACAGGAAATACATCTACTGCTAATCTCACAATTTTGAAAGAGCAAACAGGAATGCGGTCCACAGCAAAGCAAAGAGGACCTTTGTTTTCTTTGCATCCAACTTACCATTGCGCCAACGTCCTAGCTCAGCCTCCAACTTGACAATTGTCTCCTTGAGGGTCTTGTTCTTCTCCTTCTCCTTCTCAAATTTCTTCTTCCATTGTTCTGCTGTCAATTCCAGATTCACCGATGCTGTATTCTTGATTGTCTTGGCTCTGAAATGGAAGAGAATAGCTTTATGGATAAGACTTTGCTTTGTTTAGTGGATGTTCTGTTTTGATTGATTGATCGATTGTGCCAACTTGTTTTTGGCTCCTAGCAACTACATGGCTATGTTTTCTTCATGATAATATATCCATAATCGGACCTTTCAGGTTTTCCAACAATGCACTCATTGCCACCAGAATTGAGTCCAGTCACCTTGCTGCTTCTTTTTCCTTCCAAGTGTTATGGTTTGCCGGCAGCAGGTGCAGACGGCTGAGGAGAGCGAGGACTCAGATGAGGGGCCAGGACCATTAGGGAGTGGACTGCTGCCTTCAGAGATTGTGGAGGCTGGCAGCAGCGATGAGGAGGTTCCCGAGGAGCCTGTGCCAAGTGCATGTGTGTGCAGGGCTGCTCGAAGGAAAGAGCAGCTGCAGCAGCATGGGCAACTCGTAATGGCCTCTCCTTCAAGAAGATAAAAGCCAGCTGTGAATCAGACGTTCTTTGTAGGAAGCAAAAACATTTTGAAACTCCAGCCTCGTGGACATTGCAGTATCTTCAGTTGGTATTTGAAGACTCTTGTGTTGTAAAATATTTCTTATCTGTTATTTTTGGCAGCCTCACACAGTTTTGGTGAGGCTTGTGCTTATCAAAGATAATTAGTTTGCAGCAGCCTTTTAACCGGGGATTCGTAAGAATCATTAAAAGGTTTCTGTTCCCTTTGGTTTGTGTTTGTTTTATTGGAAAAGGGTTTGGGTAGAACACCAAGACATCCCATTACACGCTATCTATTATACTGATCATCTTCCTAGTATTAACACAGATGACTGAAGCTCTAAAAATACAGGAAGCTCTTACTATACTACATTGCTCATTGACTAGCAGTAATAGGTTTTAAAGCTAGAGTTTACCTCAGCAGAAGATGCTTATGATCAAACCTTGGCTCTTTCCATGCAAGGCTTGTGCTCCACAGCTGAAGTCAGTCCTTTCCCTAGATGCCTCATCTCCGAAATAGCAGCAGAATAATTTTACCTGGCTATTCCTATAGCACAGTGGTGGGATTCAAAAACTTTTACTACCGGTTCTGTGGGCGTGGCCATGTGACTGGGTAGGCGTGGCTTTTTTTGCAGCCCCCACCTGTTTTTGGGAGCTTCCTAGCCCCAGAGGAGCCTCGTGGGGGGGAGGGGGGCATTTTTGTTCTCCTAAGGCTCCTCTGGGGCTCTGGAAGAAAAGGAACAGAGTATGGGAGGGGCATGCAGCACCCCTCCAAGCTCCATTTTGGGAGCTTCCTAGCCTCAGAGAAGCCTCTGGGTGGTGGGGGGGGCGTTTTTGCTCCCCTAAGGCTCCTCTGGGGCTCTGGAAGGCAAAAAATGGAGGGAGGGGCTGAGTTCCTCCCTCCATTTTTTGCTTTCCTGGGCCTCAGCAAGGGGAATCCCGGCACAGCTGATCTTATCTACAGCTGATTGTCGGGAGGGAAAAAAAACAGAAAAAATACCTTAGGCGAATGTCAGGCAGGCGGGCAGGGTGAGCAAGCATCGGGCAGGAGGGTGACCAGGTGGGGGGCGTGGCCAGCCAGAACTTACTACCAGTTCGGCGACCCACGCCAAATTCTTGCTACCAGTTCGCCCGATCCGGTACGAACTGGCTGAATACCGCCACTGTTATAGCAGCCTTTTCAAAATGCTATTCAAAATACGTATCCATTCAAAAAGCAATTCTGTCAGTATGCTTACCGCTGTCCAAACATGAGAGTAGATTTGGTCTCAGCATCATTATAGCTGGAAGGAGAGCAGCAGATAAACATTGTGGTGCGGCAGTTCCCACCAAGGGAGTCTTGTAGGATGCGGGTCATCTTGCTATCTCGGTAGGGCACATAGCTTTTCTGCATGAGATAATGGGAGTGAACATATTTGGCCTTTTTCACACAAAATTGACCACAGAAATGCCAACCTACTCACAGTTCTTATCAATTAAAAAAAAAAAAAAGCCCAATGGACAGGGACATCCAATGGACAGGGACAAGCAAACTCATCTAGAAATTTCATCTTCCAGATAGGAAAGGAAAACCTAAATCATCAGAAGCAAATAATTAATATATAGCAGCATATTTTCTAGCGCAGTCAACATATTCCCAGCAGTTCTGACTGTATCAGATGCTTTTGCTACATCTTTCCCCAAATTGATGTTCTTCAAGCCTGTTGATCCACTATTCCCAGAAGTCCCAAAGTCATATCAGCTATGAATTTTGTGAGTTATTTGGGGGCTATAACTTGAGATATTAGGCCAGCTCCCATACTCCCAAAATAGCTGGTAGATTATGTTTCCCCTTGGTTGTGTTAATTGGAAGGGTTGTTAGTTTTGTCTGTTGGTTGCTGCTTATGTTATTTATCATTTGGTTTATTGCTTTCATTCCACCCGCTGTCAGGTACTCGGGATGGGTGGCCATATAAATGTAATACATAAATAAAACTCTAGATATCCATATAGCATAAGGATGGGGAAAACCGGCCAGCAATTTTTTTGTTAAGGGATGCATGACTCACTGTGCCCTCAGCCAGAGCTGAGATAACATTCCCAAGTGCCGACAGAGATTTATTGATATTCTTGGCCTCATCCAACACAGCTCCCTCAGCTCCAGTCTTGCTGACCTGCCAGGAGAAGGCATTTGTTTATTATAGTGGAAATAAATCTCTGTGTTATATATGGACTAAATCCTAAATGAGACTTTCTTCTCTGAATAAACATGCTTCCTAGGTATTGGGAGGAAACCAACGGACCCAATTAGGAGGCCCAGAAGAATTGGGACAGACGTGGACACCAATGAAAAGTAATTGTCCCAAACATCTGAAAGGTATTTCAGTCCAAAAACAGCTCAAGCAAACTCCTTATCAATTCCTTTGAGTGGCAGACAGTTATGGCTGGCAAATCAGGGCCTAATCTCCCATTCAGCGACTTCCCAAAACACTATTCAGATTTGCCACCTAATTGCATTTAAGGCACATAGCTCTATGGAGATCCCTAAGATACTGATTTGGAGACCCAACATTCAAATAATGGGTTTCCTGATGCTCAGGAGAGGAGAGTGCAACTTTTAATGAGCTTCAAAATATATATTTTATGAAGGCATTGTTGAGATACAGTATGCGTATGATGCTCACATTGCACTCGTGTCAGAAGCATCAAGGCGCTTCTGGATTAAAAGTTTTAGCTGGTGACATCATTGTTTTCCAGGGGACACCCAGTTTGGGGCTCCTTTCATGTTCCTGGCAGGAGCTGGAGCAAAGGCCGGGTGCTCACCCCATCCCATGCCAGGACTCAGGTTTCAAACGCAAGCTTGGTAACCTCCAACCCAGCATCCTAACCACACAAGTCACCGTGCTCCTTATGTATGATGTGATCTTAGTTTATGAAATAAATAACTCTGCTTGCTTCCCCCGCTCAGATCCCTTTTAAGCCCCGAGCACCTTTTCGCTGCCAGCCAAATCCACCAGGTAAAGCTTCCCACTCAGTTTTTGTTCAGTCTCCATGTTCTCCTGTTTAATGTTGATAAGGAAGATGCTGTGACTCCGAGAACTGTGCTCATTCATGTCTGCAAGGTTAAGAGAGAGAAAGAGACAAGCCTGTTTTATTTCTCCACCCCCCCCCCCCCCCAAAAAAATCATGGGCAGAGATTTCCTGCACTGAAACTGTACAATATTCAGCCTAACTGAGGGCTCTTCAAGGTGTGGTGATTGGCAGTATTATTGAAAAAAGCTTAGCAAATGACTTTGTTTTCTGTTTTCTATAATCTTCATATATGCAAGTCTAAAAATAAACATTACAGAAACTTGTAAATTGTTTGATTTGAGATAATAAGCAATTGTTATTTAAAGACGGTATCAAAATGCTTCTTCAATTGAATATACTAAGAATTATATTACTTTCAACTCTCTACAGGAAATCTACATTCCCCACACCCCACACCCACAAGTCCTATGCAACACTTCGGGTTGCAGAAAAAAAAACACACAACAAAACAAAATAGGTGATAAAATAGTTGCGACTGTTTCCTAATTATAAATTGAGAACCAAAAAAAATTCCTTATGTACAGAAAATTAAATGATAAGCTGGTCTTTGATGCAGGATTTTTTTATATACAGTAACTGGATGATTTGTATACTTTTTTCCCCCTTCTTTCCTTCAATTGTGTTCAAATCTCACAGACTACCTGGACAAGTTCTTGACATTTTCTTGGCACATTTTTTTCAAAATTGGTTTGCCATTGCCTCCTTCTTAGGGCTAAAATAAAGTGACTGGCCCAAGGTCAACCAACTGGCTTCATGTCCAAAGCAGTCCTAACCTGATGGCTTAATTACTACACCAAACTGGTTCTCATTTGTATACTAGGCCATACTAAAAGAATATTATCTCCTTTCCTTCAGTTTTTTATTAGTCTTAGCCTGTTATCAACTTACATTTTACACTTTAAGCATGATTGAGAATAAGAGACAGCAATGTTCTTACTTTATCTCTTGGTGGCAATTAAAAATCTTGCTGGATGGTTACTGCTTTCTCTCGGCTTTAAATGGAGAGCTGAGGTTTCCTAGTAATCTCTGTCTAAGAACTAACTATCTCTAATCCTGCTCAGCTTTATCAAAATCGGCTGCTGTAACCTTTTAGGGATGGTTCATAGTTGCACTTTTTTATTAGTGTATAAATATGTTAATAGGAGCTCATTCAGCCTCACACAGCCATTATTATATAGATCTGGATTATATAGGTGTCTTTGTCTGCCCCTTCCTGAAAGTTACATCTCCACTGCCTACACACCAGTGGTGGGATTCAAACATTTTTACTACCGGTTCTGTGGGTGTGGCTTGGTGGGCGTGGCTTGGTGGGCGTGGCAGGGGAGGGATGCTGCAAAATCCCATTCCCTCCCCACCCCACTAACCTGCTTTCCAACTCTGTTCTCCTGTGCAGGGCAACAAAAGAAGACCCAGACGATCAGCTGGGACTTGAAAGGCAGAGAATAGATGGGGACGGGGCCAGTCAGAGGTGGTATTTGCTGGTTCTCCGAACTACTCAAAATTTCCACTACTGGTTCTCCAGAACTGGTCAGAACCTGCTGAATATCACCTCTGCTACACACATAGTCTATGTTCCGTCCTTCAGAGCATGGTTCTTACAATCTTAAGCGATATCACTCTGATTTTCCACGAGTACAAGAACTTTTCTTACATTTTCTTCAGTCTGTGACCAACTGAACCAATGAAGGAGTTGCTCCAAAGCTGAAACCAGGTTTTTTTCCCCCTTCAGCCTGTGGCACAGAACATGATTTTCCATTCTTTGAGCTAACCAAAACTGGCTGCTCAAGGATTTCCAGTGTCTTGCCACCAGTTCCCACCCCATCCTGGCATCTTCTGCCTGAAATCACTGCCTCAATCTGACATAAACAACCCCCTTGTTTTTGCTGCTTTTCTGGATCGGCAAAAGCAAAGGAGGTACAAAATTCTCAGGGGGAAAAAAAACACTTGAAAATGCCCTAGTGAACCAGACATTATTCCTGTCTTGTGTGTGGGCTCCCCAACTGCCTGCTCCATACACCATCATCCTTTCCCAATTGCCTGTCTTCAAAACTCACTGGTGACAGCCACATGGCGGTTGGATTTTCCTTCATCAATCACATCCAGGATTTCTTCAGGGCTGGAGACAAACCGTTCAGTGCAACCCTTAAGCAAAAAAAAAAAAAAAAAAGAGAGTATTTTGCTCCTGGTCGCACCATTCCCTTCAGCTAATTGCCATGCTTTGTTCCTAGTTATCTCCCTCAGCCTTGCATCTCTATAACTTTTCCTGATTTGTCTCAAAGGTGGCAGCTGGACTTCTTTTTTTCCTTGAGGAAGACGTTTCGCTTCTTATCCAAGGAGCTTCTTCAGTTCTGACTGACTTTCTTGGGTGAGAAGTGAAATATCTTCCTCAAGGAAAAAAACAAAGTCCAGCTGCCTTTTGGAAAAGCACCCCTGAGATAACCACGATCTGGATGACTGAGAATTTCCATAGACTTCATGTCCTAGGAAATTCTCTGTAACAGAAGTGGGTGATTTAGTGCCTTCTGTTTGTAAGGCAGGGGTCCCCAACCGCCGGTCCGCGGACCGGTACCGGTCCGCGGAACAAGTCTTACTGGGCCGCTGGTTGCTGGGCGCCGCCATCTTTTTTTGGTAAAAAAGTGCTTCCGGTGAGCTTTTCCGGGTAGAAAGCTCACCGGAAGCACTTTTTCGTCAAAAAAAGATGGCGGCGCCCAGTTGATGCCGGTGCCGGGCCGCGGCGCCCAGCTGATGCCGGTACCGGGCTGCGGCGTCAGAAAGGTTGGGGATCACTGTTGTAAGGGACTACAAACTCCCACAATTCCTTGCCATTGGCTTTGCTACTTGGGATTGATGTAAAAATGAATACATTTGGATAATATAATCACTTAAATCATCCGGAGATTGTCCATCTAAAAAAGTATATCTAGGAAGAGCAGAGAATCTATCACATACAATACTGTAGATCCTATTTTTACATAAGTCTCTCTATTACTATATTACTCTATTATTATTATGTTTTTTAAAATAGCAGAACTTCTTTTAAGATGCAATGCTTTCGTTTATTTTGGTACTACAGTACCTAAAGACAGACTTTTCAATCTTGCTCCTCTAGCTATAAAATTTGATGCTGAGATTGACCATTGCCCAGTATTGATTATTTTTTTAAGAAATATCTTAGTTCAATTTCCCAACCAACTCACCTTCACAAAGGGCACACGGTTCTTATCCTCATGAACAGAGAGATTGGTCTTCGTCACTGTGAATGAAGAAGAAATGGGTCCAACAGAGCTCAATGAATCCAAGGAAATATGTTTTATTTAATTTACCAGCTATCCTCACAACTGCCAAAATTCTTCCCAGGCCATTGATTTGTTCTATCTCCTGGCTCGGTCTCCACCCCATGTGATATTTCATATCCCTTGAAGCTCGCTCACCATCTAGCAGATCGCGGATTTTGTCCAGGTAGATTTCGAAGTAAGAAACCTGAGAGGAGAAAGAATAAAGAAATTAAAAAAAATGGGGAGATGGGAATTACCTATGCTCTGGTCCTCAAGGACACATGCCTTTCAAGCAGCAAACAACTATCCGCTCTCAAGACATTCCAAACAGGTAACTTGAATCTTCCAGATGGGAACTGATAAGCTTTTAGCCTTTTTATAACAAATACAATGGAGCAACAGGACAAAAAAAAAAAAACAAGTTTCTATCAATCTAGTGGGTTCCAAATATGGTGAACTCCAGTTCCTCTCAGTCCTAACTTGTAGATCTAGCATGTTTTTAGCAGGGCTGGCATTAAGAGAACCTGCCATTCGAAGACACAGGACCTCTGCCATCCTCTGGTTGTTTTCCCTACAGGGCATGAACTGCACTGGTTGGCGCAAGAAAGCAAGTGTTGGGACACCTGCCCAATGCTCTAAGAACCTTCTGGAGTTAAGGAATAGGACAGAATGCTTTAGGCAAATAAGTAACAAGCACTACCTATATCACTGGTCCCTCCTTGTACTGTTGTATGTCTCTGACCTTAATGTGGAACTCCAGGTTCTCATCCATGGAATAGATATGGTTGAAGATGTCCTGGGCAATGCGTGGGATGATGCCCATGAGCTGGGGATCATGCAGCTTGCCCTAGTGGAACAGAAGAGTTGACAGTAAGTTCAACAAGCCCTCCCAAATTCTTCAGGTAAGCTTCATTCTTGAAACCTAGGACCTAACTGCAGATGCTACTATCAGGCCAAAGTTTTCTAGTTAGAGACCAGCTTTTAAAGTGTATATGTGAGAAACCTCCTCACCTCCATGGTGTGAGTCTTTCCAGAAGACGTCTGCCCATAGGCAAAGATGGTTCCATTGTATCCAGCCAGCACATCTGCAAAAAAAAAGGGGGGGGAAATGAAAGACAAAAACAAATAGCCATTTTTAATGGATCTTGTTTATTCTCTTTCTGCTGCCCTACCCAAGCAATCCTATTAAGCACCTGATAGTCTCCCAATGCCCAGACTGACCTTTGACAATCTGCATGGCACAGGCATGATACACTTGTTCCTGTGTAGTGTTGGGTGGGAAGACCCGGTCAAAGACATAAGGCTTGCCCTGCAGAAGGACACAGATAGATAACATAGTAGATTAGAATACCCAAATGTTTACATGAAGTATCCAGCTGTATTCTTCCTGAAAAACGGTGCCCAAAGGTCTAGATGGGACAAAATAAAATCAGATTAATTCCCTCCATAATTGAACTGCTATATCTCAGTAGGCATTCAGAACACAGAACACTGGATCCAGTATTATTTCACCCGAAGTCTGATACATACTTGGAGGGTAGGGAGAGGGTGGGGGATCCTGAACTCACAGCTGTTACTTAAATAGCAGGTAGAGACCATAATGGGTAGCTTTTGCTCCGCTTCAGCTGATGATTCAGTTATGCTTCTATCTGGACCAAAGACGATGGTGTTATCTCTTGATAACTACTCATCTGGATTACTGTAATAAGACATCTAATGATGCAGACTTTGGAAGTGACCCAGAAGCCGCAACTGATCGCTACCTGTCATAGTCAATACAGGTAGTCCTCGATATACAACCACAAGCTCAAAATTGGTAAGTGAGAATTTGTTATGTGAGTTTTGCCCCATTTTTGGCACAGTTGTTAAGTGAATCACTGCAGTTGTTAAGTTAGGAACACGGTTGTTAAGTGAATCTGGCTTCTCCATTGACTTTGCTTGTCAGAAGGTTATAAAAGGGGATCATCTAATTCAAAGTGCCAACAATAGCTCACAAAGCCCTATATGGCACAGTGTCAGATTACATTTCTCACAAGAGGAAAGCACAGAAAATGACTTATTACCAGAATGGATAAGAGTTCTTCAAAACCTTGGAGAACTACATTTGTATCCCTAGCCTAAGGGCAAACACTATTGTCACATCTTTGTGATTCTTACAACAAGATCTTAGAATGGTCTAAGATGGTTCATGGCCACACATTCTGGGAAGCCCAGCCAAGAGAGTACTTGTTTCAGGGAAATGTCCACTGGAAGATGATGTAGCAATTAGAACAGGGAGAAAATAAGGTTTTACTTTCCTCACGAATGAAGATTTTCAGTTGAATACCTTGCTGAGCATGTGCTTTTCATGTCTTAAGATTTGTATTGATATATTTTTCTTTGTTTGTTCGATTTCTTTGGCTGCCCAACTCAAACAATGACTCTGGGTGGCTTACAGTTCCAAAAACATATTACAGTTTCTTCCCCAGTCTATCAAAAAGACTCTGTTTATACAATCCATTTAATCCAGTCAGCCACCAACCTGATGCAAAGTAGTTACTGGCTATTCTAACTATAATAATTAGGTCCAATGTTGCTATGTTATGTAACAGAAAATCCCTAACCACTTTCTCCTGGAAGTGCCTGGTGTTCCATGAATTATTGCACTAGGAATGTATACAAGGCAAAGCTTAATGCCCTAATGGTGGCTGGACAGACAGTAATAGACTTTGTTTAGGAGCTGCAGCCAATCAGGTCATGCAATGAATTCTGAAAGCAGAGACACTTTTTTCAAAAACTCTATGTCTCCAACTCTATTTCTTGAAGGGCATCTGCTTTATACACTGCCCCAAATCTTTGTTCAGCTATGGTGTACCCAAAGCACTGCTGACTGAGTATTTGTAATTCAAAACAAGCCTGTTTTAAAATTAAACCACTCTTACCCCATTATTAACCAAGTTATGGTGTTCTCACAATACATTTACCCCACTATTAGGGTTCTGTTTTTGGCAAGACTAATATTTGGGCCAGATCACATGATATATACAGTATACAGGAGAAAATGAGTTCCAGGATAGACTGTGAATAAGGAGCTGTTCAAATGCTGATTTGTCTAAATGTAGGTTAGGTGGCTTTTTAAAACCACTTTGCTGCATCTCTACCAATTACAACAACTATCAAAAAGCAACAATTAAGACAACAGGCATAAGATCGCTCCTGAAATTAGGCACATTGCGGTATAATCCCTGCTGTCATGCCCCTGTCGGAATCTGATTCAGAGGGGGAGGCTGAGCAGCTGGCAGGGAGTGGGAGTATGGCTCCGTTGGCTGTGGAAGAAACTGGGGAAGGGCACAGTCCAGCTGGGCAGAGCAGGAGAGAGGTAGAGCAAGGGAGATGTTATTTGGAGGAAGACCCAGGCCCACCCCCTCTTCATTCTAGGACACACAGGAACGGAGAAGGGAGCAACGTGACTTGCATGGCTTATGGGGGAGGAAAGAGCCCTGATTCCCTTCATTAGCTGCAGCTGGGAACAATGTTTAAAAAGGAAAGCTGTGCACAGCAACTTGTTGGAAGCAAATCATGAGTTATCTGTTATTGTCGAGGCTTATCTGGGTTCCTGGAATCTTCCCAACTGTGTGTGTTTTGTTGGCCTTTCAAGTCCTTCTCCTGCCCTGTCAAGTTAATTGCTGCAGCGTGGTTTGTGTGGATTTTTATTTACAGTTTGTATGTACTTCGTTTTCGGACTGAATTTCCTCCACTTAAAAACTGTTCTTGGGAGAGTTTTTTCTCCAGCCGAAGGTAACCTGGACATTGGGGGCAAAGTTGGAGGTATTAAAGGGACTCTTCTTACTTATGTGACTGTGTTGCCTTTTTGCCATGCCCTGGGTCATCACACCTGTCTTGTGTAAATCTAAGCACAGCAATCACATAAGGAATCTTAAACAAGTAAGGTAGCACTCACGTAGCACACTTTACTTGTAACTGAATCACACAGTATAGTGAAGGATAAAGTAGCCAAACAGGCTGGCTTTACGCAACATGCTAACCTCTTATACAAAAGCTAAACAAGATTAAACCCAAACAATTTAGCATGCTACGCGAATACATCTGCTTATTTTTTTCTGACTTCTGTGTTATGTGAATGCTGCTCAGACCCATTCAAGCTACTGACTTGAGACAGTATAATATATACCACGGGAATGCTCATGCACAATTTCTCAAAAATATGAGTGCCTGACCCGAAAGTCAATTAGACAGTTAGAAAATGATGAGGAAGCTGAACAGCACTGAAAAATATATTCAGTGGTTCAGGTTCAGCTTATTGGACTGGTTTATAGGGCCCATGGGCACACAATCAGCTACTTATTTTATGTCCAGGCAGATGTTTTTCCATCTGCAAATGTTATAGTGCCCACGTTTATCATCTGAAAGGCATGTCCAGGACACAAAGCATGTTTTAGCCTGTCATTACTCAACCCATTGTAAGCTGAATAGCAGTGGCCTCTACATATTTTGCATAATAGCTTATGCAGTTAATCTGCACCTGCTTTCTAATTTTATCACATTTATTACATTTGCAAATAATGAATTACGTCCTACTGCTCTGTTTCTGAGGGAGACACTCCTTAAATAAAATCTGATAAGTAAGGTTGGGGAGGGAGACATTAGATGAACAGAACATGACCCTCTTGTAATATTTCTTCTAATATGGCATCCTATCATCTTGCAGTAGTCCAAGATTGCAGCCTGAAAAATCAAGGCAATCACTAACATAAAGCAGGGATGCCCAATCTGTTAGGCAGTGGGCATATTTGTAATATTGAAAATCTGTCACGGGCATATTCATATTCAGGTGAATGCCACGATAGGCATGGCCAATCACAATTCATTTGCCATATGTATGAACTTCTCCTAACCTTTCCCTCTGATCTCTCAGGATATTCCATACCATCTAAGTTCAATCTTTTAAACAATCTGATGCACAAGGAACCCTGCAAGGTCTAATGCAGGGCTGTCAAACTCCCGAGCCAGATGCGCCATGTACTGGCCACGCCCATGCCCAGTTTAGCGAAGAGGGAAAAAGTCCTAATATGTCACATGACGATGCCGTGACGATGTGCGTTTGACACCCTTGGTCTAATGGAAGTTTGCTGAGGAGACACTGGCATTCCAGGTACCATGCTGGACAGCTACATGGACAGAAACCAGAGGCAAACTCAGGTTAAAATCACCCTAAATCTCACTACCAAGATTTTTTTAAAATCTGCATTACACTATTTACTAAAATTCTTCAGATTCTAAAGATTCTCAACCTAATGCAATTAATTGTGCACAACATTCATTTGAATGGGGTGCAGTATACCTTATCCACATAGGAATGTGATCTATTGTGGTCCGCCAGCTGCTAGCAGAGCAGATTCGGCAGACTTGGACGATAAGGAGGTTTGGAGAAGAACTTGGGCCAGTTCTGGAGCCTGGGGAAGGCTCTGATGGATACTCAGCATCAGACACAGAGATGGAGCCAGCATCTGTCTGGCATTTCCCAGCCACCGGAAAGGCAGCTGCCTTTGGAGTCAGAGATGAGTGAGGAGGAAGAACAGCTGGGGCCTGTTCCAGATGCACATATGTGCAGAGCAGATAGGAGAAGTGAACAAGGACAAGGGAGTCGACTCGAGAAGCAAATCAAACATGGATGCTGAATGGCCCCTCCCTGGCTGAGGAATAAATAGAAGTAAAAAGGGAGTGGTGGTCATAGGAGATAATAGTTTACATTTCTGGAGATTTTGCTCATTGTGTTTCTGGCAAAAACTGCCTTGCCAGAACATAATTTGCGGCCTTTCAGCTGGGAGCTCACAGCCTTGCAATTATCGAAAGGAACTGAAAAGGGCTATTGCTGCAGTTAACTCTTGCCTGGACTTTTGGTTGGTGAATGCAATTAGTTCACAAGATGTAAATAAAGAGGCATTTTTCTTTGCGAGGAGTCTGTTTCTTGCTTTGGCAAAAGCTGGGTCAGAACACCTGTGCTTTCTGCTCTTAACTGCTTAGTGTTGACTGCTTTTGAAAATGGCTGTAGGCTGCACTACTGTTTTTAAGAAGAGATTCTAGATTAATAGATTCCTTCATTTCCCATTGACGTTTAGAATAACCAAATTATATTTTGTTATTTATTGTAACAAAATTACAATAAATTCTATAAAATTACAACACATTTTTGTAACAAAATAATTGCAAGTTCTGATGCTTGGTACAATTTACAGCACCAGTCAGCACCAACTGTTTTAGAGCCTTAAAGATATATTGGTCCTCATGTCTGAAAATTATGGTTAATTC